CCCCCCAGATCTCCCCAGTGCCCAGTTTTCCCAGTTCCCCACGGTCCCCAGTTCCCACCAGTTCCCCCAGTCCTCAGTTCGTCCCAGTTTTCAACAGCTCCCAGTGTTCCCCAGGCACCAGTTCCTCCCCCATTTCCCCTGAATCCCCAGTTTCCCCCACTTCCCCCCAGTGCCCGGATCCCCTAAGTCCCTTCCAGCTGTCCCCAGTTCCCCCCAGTGCCCAGATCCCCCGAGTTCCTTCCAGCTGTCCCCAGTTTACCCCAGTCCCCAATTGCACCCAGTCCCTCCCAGTGCTGTGCTCTCCTCCAGTATCCTCCAGTATCCTCCAGTCCCTGGTTGCCCCCCACTTGCCCCCAGTTGCCCCTCCCTCACCAAGCCCCAGTCCTGCCCAGTGCCCAGGTCCTCCTAGTCCCCCCCAGTTCCCCCCAGTTCCCTCCAGTACATCCCAGTCCCCTCAAGTTCTCTGGTTCCCTCCAATACAGCCCAGTCCTGCCCAGTTCTCCAGTTCTCCAGTTCCCTCCAGTACATCCCGGTTCCCTCCAGTACATCCCACCCCCTCCCAGTTCTCCAGTTCCCTCCGGTACAGCCCAGTCCCCCCAGTTCCTGCAGGCCCCCCCTGGGCTCCCAACCCTGCCCCGCTCCCAGAGAGGCCCCAAGTGGGATCCAGCAGCCCCTCACCTGTGGTGGCCTCAGTGGCCACGTGGTGGATCCTCTTCCCACCCCGCAGCCCGTAGAGGTGGAAGCGGTACCGGCTGGACGGGGACAGCCCCGGCACCATCACCGAACGGGACCCGCCATCCATGGGCAGGGCCTGGGGCTGGCCCTGGGCATCCCGGTACTGCAGCGTGAAGGAGTCGAAGGGGCCCTCGGGGACGTCCCACTGCAGCCCCACAGAGTTGGGGGTGATGCTGGAGACCCTCAGCTCCCCCAGCACTGCCCGTGCTGGGGGTACCTCAGCTAGGGGGGCCTCAGTTTGGGGGGGCTCAGATGGGGATGACACAATTGAGGAGGCCTCAGTTTGGGGCTCCTTCGAGGGTGGGAGCAGCTCATCTGGGTCAGCTGTGGCAGCAACGCAGAGGGGAAGGTGATGAACATCTGCAGCCACAGGTCCATCCACATGCCCATCCAACATCCACCCAACTATCCTTTATCCATCATCCACCGTCTGCCCCCACCCTCTCCCCACCATCCCATCCCCACCCACCATGGATAGATAAGCCACTGACCACAAAACTGACCAGTCAACCTTCGAGCCTTCCACCCACCTACTGACCAACACCCATCGTTTCCACTATCACCACCATCATCATCATCATCCATTCACCATCCATCACCTTCATCAACATCCATCATCATCATCATCCCATCACCATAATCATCTTCATCATCATCATCCATTATCCAACCATCTAATCAACCACCAATCCCTCCATCCCTCCACCATCCCACCCGCTCAGCAATCCCCACCTTCAACCTCTCACCAGTTTCCCAGCCCAGTTCCCCTCACTGCTCCTTCTCCCCAACCACATCATCACCCACCATCAAGCACCTACCAATCCCAAGAAACATCTGTTCAATGATTGATACTTCCCATCTGCCCATTGACGAACAATCACCATCATCCATCCTCCATCCATCCTTCCCAATGTAACTCCATCTCCTGGAGCATCCAACCATCAATCCATCAACACATCCATCCATCCATCCATCCATCCATCCATCCATCCATCCATCCATCCATCCATCCATTCAGGTTTTTCTACCCACCTACCCACCGGTGCATTCATTCACTCACCCTTCATCCACCCATCTCTCCATCCATCCTGTCACTGTCCAGTTCTCCAATAAACCTGGTGTAAATCAGCCCATCCTTCTATTCATGAATCCTCCACCCCTCCACCCACTCGTTCATCCCTGTGTCTGTCTCTCCATCCCTCCCTCTGTCCCCCAATTCATCTCTCTACTCCGTCCTCCCTGTGCCCTTCCCCCTCACCCGTGGAGACATCGATGGAGACGCGCTCGATCCTCTTCCCGCCCCGCAGCCCGTAGAGGTGGAAGCGGTACCGGCGGGATGGGGACAGCCCCGGCACCATCACCCAGCGGGACCCGCCATCCATGGGCAGGGCCTGGGGCTGGCCCTGGGCATCCCGGAACTGCAGCATGAAGGAGTCGAAGGGGCCCTCGGGAACGCTCCACTGCAGCCCCACGGAGTTGGGGGTGACGTTGGAGACCCTCAGCTCCCCCAGCACCGCCCGAGCCGGGGGCGCTGCACTTGGTTGGGGCTCCTGTTCGTGCTCCTGAGACAGGGAGTCCTCAGCTGGGGGAGCCTCCAAGGGGGAGGCTGGTGCTGTGTGGAGATGGAACGAGGCAGGAGGTGGAGATCAACCACCTGCCTGTCTTTCTATCGACCCATCAAGGCATAATTCAACCTCCCCTCTGTCCTTCCACACCGCCCCTCACCCGTCCTGCCCCACTCACCCAGGGCACAAACCAGCCATGGGCTCATCTCAACCTGCATCCGTCCATAAACACATCCACCTATCCATCCACCCACCCATTCATCCATCCATCCATCCACCATTCTATCCACCGATCCATCCATCCATCCATCTGCCCATCCATCCATCCATCCATCCATCCATCGATCCATCCATCCGTCCATCCATCCATCCATTCCTTGCTTCCATCCTGTCTCGCACCCATCCCAACTCCACACATCATCCCACATCCATTTCTCTGGTTCTTTCTCCTCACATCAGTCCAGGGTCTACCCCTGCCATTCCCATTTCCCATGGACAATCTTGCACCATAAGAACATACAGACACCAGGAAAGCTCCATCCATCCTGGCTTTCCCACATTCAGTCAACTATTCATCCACCCATCCACCTCCTGCCATCAATCTGGGCAGGAACCCACCCCAACCATGCACTCTGGAATCCACTCAGCCATTCTGTTCTTGATCCATCATGGATGGACGATGATGATGAAGATGATGATGACGATGATGATGATGATGATGATGGATGAAGATGGATGACGATCATTGTATTGATGGACGGTGAATGAGAATAACGATGAAGGGTGAAGGCCATTGTGGTGATGGGGAATGATGAAGAGGATGGGGGATGGCAGCAGGTGTTGGTCAATGGGTGGTTGAAGGGTCGATGATCAATTGGATGGTACCGAGCTCAGTGGTTCCTTGATGGTGGGTGGGAATGAGATGAGGATAGGATGCCATAAATAATCGATCCCTCTGCCCTTCCCCCTCACCTGTGGTGGCCTCAGTGGAGACGTGGTGGATCCTCTTCCCACCCCGTAGCCCGTAGAGGTGGAAGCGGTACCGGCGGGACGGGGACAGCCCCGGCACCGTCACACAGCGGGACCCGCCATCCATGGGCAGGGCCTGGGGCTGGCCCTGGGCATCCCGGTACTGCAGCGTGAAGGAGTCGAAGGGGCCCTCGGGGACACTCCACTGCAGCCCCACGGAGTTGGGGGTGACGTTGGAGACCCTCAGCTCCCCCAGCACCGCCCGAGCCGGGGGCGCTGCACTTGGTTGGGGCTCCTGTTCGTGCTCCTGAGACAGGGAGTCCTCAGCTGGGGGAGCCTCCGAGGGGGAGGCTGGTGCTGTGTGGAGATGGAACGAGGCAGGAGGTGGAGATCAACCACCTGCCTGTCTTTCAATCCACCCATCAAGGCATAATTCAACCTCCCCTCTGTCCTTCCACACCGCCCCTCACCCGTCCTGCCCCACTCACCCAGGGCACAAACCAGCCATGGGCTCATCTCAACCTGCATCCGTCCTTAAACACATCCATCCATCCATCCACCCACCCACCCATCCAAAAATCCATCCATCCATCCATCCACTCACCCACCCATCCATAAATCCATCCATCCATCCATCCATCC